TTTTTTTTTTTTAAGTTTATTCATTAAGTATTTTTTTAATTTTTTGTTGGTACATAGCAGGTGTATATATTTATGGGGTACATGAGATGTTTTGATAAAGACATTTAATGTGAAACAAGCACATCATGGAGAATGCAGTAACAGTCCCCTCCAGTGTTTATCCTTTGTTTTACAAGCAATCCAGTTACACTCTTTTAGTCATTTTAAAATGTACAATTAAGTTGTTATTGACTGTAGTCATCCTGTTTTGCTATCAGTAGTGTGTCTCATCCATTCTTTCTATTTTTTTATGTACTTATTAACCATCCCCACCTCACTCGCCAACACCCCACTAGTTTTCCAGCCTCTGGTAACCATCTTTCTACTCTCTATGCCATGAGTTGAACTGCTTTCGTTTTTATATCCCACAAATATGTGAGAACATGCGATGTTTGTCTTTCTGTGCCTGGCTTATTTCATGTAACATAGTGATATCCAGTTCCACCCATGTTGCTGCAAATGAGTGGATCTCATTCTTTCTTGTGGCTGAATATTACTCAATTGTGTATATATACCATGTTTTCTTTATCCATTCATCTGTTGATGGACACTTAGGTTGCTTCCAAATCTTAGCTATTGTAAACAGTGCTGCAACAAACATAGGAATGCAGATATCTCTTCACTTTACTGATTTCCTTTCTTTTTGGTATATACTCAACAGTGGGGTTGCTGGATCATATGGTATATCAATTTTTTGTTTTCTGAGGAACCTGCAAACAGCTTTCCATAGTGGTTTTACTAATTTACATTCCTACCAACAGTGTACAAGGGTTCCCTTTTCTCCACATCCTCGCTAGCATTTATCATTGCCTGTCTTTTGGATATAGGCCATTTTAATTGAGGTGAGATGATATTTCACCGAGGTTTTGATTTACATTTCTCTGGTGATCAGTGATGTTGAGCATCTTTTCATATGCCTGTTTGTCATTTGTATGTCTTCTTTTGAGACATGTCTATTCAGATCTTTTGCCCATTTTAATCTGATTGTTAGATCTTTTTTCCTATACAGTTTCTTGGGTTCATTATATCTTCTGGTTATTCATTCTTTCTCAGATGGATAGTTGGCAAATCCATTCTGCGTGTTGTCTCTTCGCTGTGATGATTGTTTTATTTGCTTGCAGAAGCTTTTTAACTATATGTGATCCCATTTGTTTGTTTTTTCTTTGGTTTCCCGGGCTTGTTGAGTATTACCCAAGAAATTTTTGCCCAGTCCAATGTCCTAGAGAGTTTTTCCAAAGTTTTCTTGTAGTAGTTCCATAGTTTGAAGCCTTAGATTTAAGTATTTAATCCATTTTGATTTGATTTTTGTATATAGTGAGAGATAGGGTATGGTTTCATTCTTTTGCCTATAGATATCCAGTTTTCTTAGCACCACTTATTGAAGAGACTGTCTTTTCCCCAGTGTATGTTCTTGCCACCTTTGTCAAAAAACGAGTTATCTGTAGGTGTGTGGGTTTGTTTTTGGGTTCTCTATTCTGTTCCATTGGTATATATGTCTGTTTATATGCCAGTACCATGTTGTTTTGGTTACTGTAGCTCTGTAGTATATAATTTGGAGTCAGGTAATGTGATTCCTCCAGGTTTGTCCTTTACCTTAGGATAGTTTCGGCTATTCTGGGTCTTTTGTGGTTCCATATAAATTTTAGGATTGTTTTCTCCATTTCTG